ATCACCACCATCATCATCCCTCCCTCTTTCCCTCCCTCTCTCCCTCAGTCCCACGCTCCCTCCCTCTCTTCCTCCCTCCCCCCCGTTCCCCCTCTCCGCCTCCCCGTCACTCCGAGTCGTCCCCCCTCTCTCCCCTGCTTGTCGCTGCGTGATGGCGGAAGTCATAGAAGTCCCATTCTCCCCCCCCCCACCAGTTATCCCCCTTGCGCGCTGCGTCCCACAGGGCCTGGCTGGCCTCCACCCTGACCCCGCCCTCTGGCTCCGAAGCTTCCCCCCCGCATTCCTCACCTCTCCCACCTTCGACCCTGCTGAAGGGAAGGACGGGTGGGTTCTTGTAGCCCCCCAGTCTCATGATTTGCCGAATTGGGAGCCTTCCAGAGATTCAAATACTGCTGCTCTCGCGCTGTCTGAAGATGGGTCTGGAGGCACTTATTCCGACGATCCGAGGTGACGCCGTGTTGGCGGAGCCGTCGCCTCGATCGTGTTCGATCCTGCCCTCGCCGGGTGGACGCAACACGGAGGCTTCCGCGCCCCAGTTCCCGGCAGAAGGCAAGCAGTTCCGAGCTGAGCTTCTCGACACATCCTCTGGCGGTTCAATGTTTGTGACGGACCAGCGGGTGGGGGGCGGGGGCGACTCGTGAGGGCGGGGGTCGGTATGGGTTAAGGATCGCAATTGAGGTATCTAGCTCAGCGCGCGCCAGGCGTGTCGGAGCGTGGGCCTGGGCGCCGTGACTGTCACAGAGGTACCCTCCCATCAAGATAACGAGGAGGGCCGATATCTTACGATGTCTTACTGGCCCCCAGTGATGTGATCGCAGACGCCTGGGCCAGGTCCTCGGCGGACCGTACGTCCCAACGCGCTGTACAACCGGTCCCGGCCGCTGGCATCTGGGACGACACAGCCGCTCTTGTCGGGCAGAGGGACAAGTCGATTCTCATGGCCATCGGCAATGCTGCCCGACTTCGGGGTGTCGAGCCTCAACGGTCCTCTCAACCCCCGCCTCCGTTCTCGGAGCTCCAGGTCCTCTCGCAGTCCCGGCGCAGGCTCCAGGAGTGGCGCGAGTAAGTGGAGATGCTCGATGTGTAAAGCAGTGGTTCGACGGTGCTTCCGTGCTGGAGGCGGCGGCGACCCCTTGCAAGCTGGTCGATCTGGCCAGGAGCTTCTCAGGAGGGGCGTCCGTCTTCCAGTGCCGTGGTCAGTTGACCATCAAAGGCCGCATCGCGCATCCGTGCCATCGATTGCGGGGCCTGGTTGGCAGCCCTGTGTTTGTGCTGGCCGTGGCTATACGGCAACGCGTGGTTTGCTCAAGTTGGCCGGGAAGTGCCTAAGTGTGCCGTCGCCTCAAGGATTAGAGTTAGGTCAGGCATGTCCTTCTACAGGCGGATTTCGAAAGAAAACTAAAACATAGTCCAACCATATTCAAGAATATTCAAACATACCAACAAAAATCGTCCCCCGACAATTGCTTCCATGATTCTTGTTGTATACGTACTCCTCCTGTGGAGGGACACGCCCGACTTCAGATTGAAGCATCTCTGCAGTCTCCACTGAGGCCTCCACCCGTTCCGCGCGGGGCCCTCGGAAGCCTGTCCCGGAGGCACTGCACGCCGCGACGGACCAGCAGCGCCGCTCCGGATCCTCCTCCAGACGCAAGGCCAGAGAAGCATGGTCGGCAAGGTTGGCGGGGCGCCCCGCCCAATCGTCTTTCCTCGGACGCTGGTACAATAGCCACAAGTCCAACAGACCCTCCCCTCCTCCCTTCTCCTCCTCCTCCTCCTCCTCCTCCTCCTCCTCCTCCCCTCCTCCTCCGTCTCGCCGCCGTCCTCCTCCTTCTCCTCCTCCTTATTATCACCCTTATCCCCGTTACCCCTGCTTCCCCATTCCTCTACCCCTCCCTGCTCGTCCTCCTCGTCCACCTCCTCCGCCCTGCGAGCTCCTGATCGCTACAGGTCGCCGGAGGCACCTCGGAAGAGGTTGGCGGTGAGGCCAGCCTCGGATCGATCCGCTGCTCTGCCCACACCTCCGAGTGTGATTCCAGCTCGTCGACCTGTGGCAGTGTCTGGTTCGGGCAAATACGTTCATTGCAATGCATCACATCCTATCGCATTGCTTCCTCCTTCTCCTTCTCGCGTTCCTCCCGGTACTGCTGCTGCTGCTGCTGCTGCTGCTGCTGCTGCTGCTGCTGCTGCTGCTCTTCCTCCTCCCCCAGCGTCATCGGCCTCCTCCTGTTCCTGGTCGTGCCACCAATCCTCGTGCTACTCCTCATCATCACCCCGCATCCCCTCATCCCCTCCTCTGCTGCTCCTCCTGCGGCTGTAAGTCCTATCTCTCTGCTCTCCGTCCTACGGCCCCCGTCCCCGCCCCAGGCTCAGCAAGCCACGTCGGAACGATGGCAGCACGCAGTGTGCTGCCGTCGGAAAGAAAACCAGTTTCGCCCGTGCGTAATATGTCCAGGCGCCCCGTGGGTTCGCTTGGAGCAGTCCTCACCCCCCCCCCTTC